AACCGTTGCAATTAAACAATGAGTTTCACTAAAAAGTAATAATAACTTAGGTGAAGCATTCACTCATTTTCATGGATTTTGTATGGGTATGGCCATACACCTACATGCTAAGAGAGAGGGAGAGAGAGCGTCACCTAAGGTTGAAAGCTTTTTCCGGTTGGGGGGGGGGGGGGGGGGGGGTGCTCTAAATCGCAGGAGGTTTAGATATACGGCAAGCTTTTTATGTTTCCCCTATAACATAAAACTTATATACTTCTCCTTATCCAACTGTCCATTTTGAATGGAGGGCTATGATTGCTCCAATCACAATACCACATCATTACATTATTTTATTTTTAATTTTTTTTCTATAAATTATTTTGACGCCAAAATTTGTATGTCCAATCCTCTATTAAATTCGCACCATTGCAAAAAAAATAAAAAAAAATAATTTCAATAAAATAAAATGACCAAAATACCCCTGAAATTTTAAGGGGTATTTTGGTCATCATATTTTATTGAAAAATTATTTTTAATATTTTTTTTATAGGTGTGTCCCAATGAGAAGATGGAACATGCCAAATTTTATATTCATACAATTTGTATAAAGAAAACTAAAAATAAAATACTTTAAGGCTTTGGATCTAAGATCAAACGGTGCTAGGTTCTCTTGACCAAAATTGGACGGTTGGATGGTAGGAGAAGCATAGATCTTCTATGCTGTGGGGAAAGTATAGAAATCTTGCCCTCTATTATATACTCAATACAATATTATATATCCAAGTTGGATATTGTTGAGGTCCAGCTGTACCTCGACCCGAACCAATGTCAAGTCCTAATTCTTGGACATGTACTTGGTCTGTTGGTTTCAGAGATATGACCTAGACCCGGATGACCCGTCAGGTTAGTGGGTTGACCCAATCCATTCCCCACCCCTAGGCAAAAATAAGGAGAGTTATATCCATCGGATAAGAGATTCCAAGTCGATAAAATGATTTGGATTAGGAAAAGGGTTTACATAAAGCACTATACTACAAAGTAGCAAAAAATGCAAAATGGTGTTTTACCCACATTCCTAGAGAAAGCTTTCCAACAAAACAATGACCAAGGCCCTAGTGGATCACTATTTTGTTCTTTCACCTGGAATCCTCGAGGGAATCCTTGGCATTCTTGATCATTGGTGCACTTACCATCCCTAGTTTGAGAATATAGCTGGAAATTGGTGAAATTAATTTATCCTTGTTTGATAACTCTGTTTGGAATACATGTGCACCCAGTTTCAAATGGTAAAACTGAGTCTATAAAGCCAAGTTCAAGTGACAACACTTTAAAGAATTTTTCTCGTAACAATACAAAATGCTCAAAATTAAATGAATCTTACATTAACATATAACATTTAAATATAATTTCCAGCCACCAAACTTGGTTTTAAATATATTTTTTTAAAAAAAATTACAATTCTATTAGGTCCCTAGACAAAGTTCAAACACAAATTATTCAAAGAAGATTGTGAATATACATGACAAATACTCAAGTGCTAAAACTAGAGCATTATACAAATTATATTGCCAAATTATACCACTTTTGAATTACATTAAATACCCCAAATGCAATATCCTTTGCCGCCATGAAAAACACTTACAAGTGCACATTTAGATTTGATAATGGGAAGCCAAATAAGCAATCTCTTTTTACCCAGTTTACAGCCAAAGTCTTAGCTGCATATTGATGATTTCTCCAAAATGAATCATCATGGAGCTAGAGTTTCACCTCTAAGCTTGAGATGAAGCTTTCATGGAGCTTCAATTTCTTTCTCTCTCTCTCTCTCTTAATTCTCACACTTTTATCCCCATATTTCTCACTCTAAGGAACGCTTATGATATGAAGGAAGAGAGAGGACCAAATGGGGGGCTCACCACTTAGAAAATGAGTTTCTTTCAGTAAGAAATTTTCATATATTTAAAGAGAGAGAAAGAGAGAGCCAATGGTGGGGTGTGCCACTTAGAGAGAAGATATCCTCAGATGAGCAACCAAGGGGGTATTTATTAGGCAATTGTAGAGATACTTCTAGATATGTTAATCTTGGTCATCATCCATGACATGAGAGAGGGCTTAATCCTGACCATTCATCACTCATCATGCTATCTTGATGATTGGATGAAATTTAATACCATTATCCTCCTAATTACCCCTAAACTCACTCCAAATTTTCCATAATAATCTTACTCTCAAATTCCAATGAAATTTATCTTGCTTGCATAACTTTGTTAAACACAATGAGAAATCCTAGGTAAAGGGTTATCCCTGAAGTAATTAGGCAAGCCTCCTACAAACAATTTGAGTTTGAAGTTTCCCTCCATTTCCCTATCACTTTGGTTGTGCATGTGTGCCCAATTATGTAATGACATATAGGATAGGTGGTTGTGCATAATTTCATATGGGCTTAGGGTTTAATCAATAATATCAAACCTTATACTCCTTTAGAAGATTTCCCTATGTGTGCACAACCACCAATTCCTCAAACATATACTCAAATCCAATTTTTTAATTTTACCAAATATCATAATTCAAATTTCCAATTTCAAACAATTTCGCAAATGACAAGTAGGTTCCCAAAGGGCACATCTTCCCTATGACATGGAGCCACATCAGCCACACATGACACCCATTAGCCATTTAGGTGTCACGTGTGAACCATAGGAGACACAATACTTTGTCATTTCTTAAAAACAATATCTCAAATCCACAACGTGAGCTTAAGAGAAATCTAGAAGAATCCTAAAAAATCCTCCAAAACATACTTCATTATAATAATATAATTGGCCATCATATATAGACATTAATGAGACAAATTTGGATCCTATGAGGATGAATGTGGTATTGGAGCACTACACTTCGCTAAACTTAAAATCCAAAGTCATTTTCTCATAATGACCCAATAAACCATGTCCCACACTGTTAGGCAAGGGCTCATGTTTGGCTTATCAAAGTCATTCCAATATATAGCTTGGGGCTCTCAAATTGTAGTGGATTACGAGTATATCCTCTAGAACATATACCCTAGTGGATGCACGAGGCTTCTCTCTTAACATGTGCCTATCTCTTCCTAGTGGATCAACTATGAAAGAGGGGCTTCTATTTTATGAATATTCTTGCAGATGCCATGAAAAGATTACGAGGTCAGGGATTGGAATTTATATTCTCTCAAAGCTTTAACCTTCTCACATAGGGCTAAAATCATACAAAATACTCAAGCTCATATCGCAACTAGTCATAACCAATCTAAGACACAATACCCTAGCCATCACATAGTCATGAGGTATAAAAAAAAAACCAATCTAGACTAGAGGTGACCCCCAACCCTCTCGATGCTCCTCATCTATACACTGATCTAATGACACTCATGGTTATGTGACTCTTGGTTCCAATGTTCCAAGATCCTAGAGTAATATTGTCCTTCCTTACTTTCACTATGCCCAAGAGCTATCAAGGGAGACTTTGAAAAGGCCAACACTTCAATAGAGATGTTAAAATTTTTTTATGAGACATTTTAGATACTCGCATGGCCACTCTTAAAATATAGATGGTTCATACTATAAATTCTTAGTTATATATCTCTCGGTCTTTTCTTTGTGTAAATCATACTTATTTTGGTATAAAATATACATATGGTATGGTAGGCGTGAGAGAGAGAGAGAGAGGAGAGAGTAGGTTCTATAGTAGAGAAATAAAATTTATGAGAGTGAGAGAGAGGTCGGTCCTTGAGAAGGAAGTAGGTCCGAAGGGGGAGAGGAGGGGAAGGATCCAA